CGGGACGCTCGTCTGACAATATATATATATATATATATATATATATATACACTTTTACTTTATATATATTTAAATTATTATTATTTATATTATTATTATTATTCAATTATAGAATATATATAGAATAGTTCAACATAGAAATATGATAATATATAATACATACAGATAATAAATATCATTCCTTCATTCCATATTAAACGGTCTCTTCTGTGTATCAGGCAGAGTTTTAACAAGGTGGACGGTGTGTCTGCCTGCACCACATTTAACACATAAACCAACTGTATCCCAGATTTATCCCCCAAGGTGTTTTTAGGACATCTCTGGGGCTAATAGAGGCTAATAGGCTTAGCACTTAGGGTGTATTGTCCGGTATGCTTACAGGCAAGGTTTGCTGGGGGTAAAACTCTAAACTCTGGGATTACCTCCAACACATCCCTTTAAAATGCTATATAGTCAGGATTTAGCTAATAGGATCCGAGGGGGGAATAGGGGCCCTGAAGGTAGTTTGGGGGATGGCTGACAGCAGGACTGCACGCATACAGGTCAGCAGATATACCAGGCAGACTGCTGGACTAACAGGAGGATTACAGGACTCAGATTAGAACGTCTCCTCATAACGAGTAATACGCACAGAGGCTGTCCCATACAGAATATTGGAGAATTTGTCCAGGAATAAAGATCTGTAGATTTAATTATCTAGGCTTGTTATATTCCTGTAAACAAATTCTCTCAGGTGGAAAAATAGACACTTGACTGATTTTTTTTTGTTTTTTTTTACATGACAATCTGTAGAACAAATGAAGTGCATAATATCACAATACAATACCATGTTATTATTATAATATAATATAATATAATATATACATTTTTCTAATGTTATAGCCCTGTTTTTTTGTTTGGCTCTGGTTTGCTTAGAAAAATTTAGTAAAACTATACTTGTTACACTTCTAAAATTCAGGCTAATCATTTTAACTGGAAATCTCTACTACTGAAGAACAGAGATGTTGACAAACTGGTTACAGCCTATCATTTTCTCTCTCTGTATCTGGTTTTTCAATTTCAGACTGAAAGGAGTGACATTACCAAAACATTTTACACCTCAGTGAGTGAAGATAAAGCACAGGAGGAGTGAACAGGTACTTCATTACATGATATCTATCCATTCTAACATTGATGTTTGAGTTCACTTAATGTTTTTTTCTTGGTCGCTTCTTAAATGTGTGTTGTTTACTGACCTGTCAAGAAAAGGGTAATACTGATCTCTGAGCCGGTGGAATCGGTTGTGTGTCTTGTGTCAATACTATGTAATTCGTCTCGCTGCTATTTCAGTATTGGCAGTGAATAGGCACATCATGCCAAATACATCATAACTTCCAGGCATTTTGCCATTTCGACGACTTGATCTGCAGCTTACATAGTTGCACCAGTAGGTGGTGACAAGTTACCGTCTTAATGAGTGAATCAATAAATAATTAACTAAACCGATTTGTTCCAAACACTGATTTATTTACAAACGAAACAAGTTGCTGAATTAAAAAATCTGAACACAAAAGAATATGTTTTGAAGATTGTGGATTACCAAACACTTTCAGTTCGCATTGACTTCCGTTGTATTTTTGTCCATACAATGCAGTGATTGTTTTTTAATTGGCAAAATTTCGAGAATGTAGCCTATGTTTGTTACACTAAGGAAAGAGGCAGTGTCATGACCCCACGTGAACAGCTAAGGAAGTTATCAGCGCTGGGAGAGCAAGGTGCCCTAGATGAGAAACACTGGCACCGACTGGTCAATGGAATGTCTGTTGGAGGTAAGAGTTCATCATGGAAGTGGCAGAGTTCATAGAACACTTTAACCAGAGCTGATCACAACCATGAAAAAATATGGCTGAGAAAGAGCTACTATTAGGCTAGAGACACCTTCATCTGTTCCCCTGTGTTTGAAGCAGAGATACGGCAAAGGTGAGCAATGAGGCCACCACCAGCAAACCACACCAAACCAAAGTAGAAATAGAGCTGTCTTCTGGCAGTAGTAGGAAAAGTTTTAAGGAAGGAGAGCCAGGAGTTCACAAGGCATGTATTAGTGGACAGGAGGGATGTGCAGAAGTCACCAACTGCAATGCTAGCACTAGTGACAAAGACATATCCAGCCACTGCTCGGCTTTCCAAGAAAAGTTTCTGTACCCATCTGTTGCTGGCCCGCTCTCAGGGATACCCTACATGCTCCCCATGCCAGGAAATGGACTTGTACCACTTGGTGTGTTTGTTAGTTTACCTTTTTTAAATGCAGTGGTTGAGCTTAACTGTGTTGTTTTAGTATTATTATTTATATACTATTATAATATTTATTAATATTTTGAATTAGACTTTATTATATTTTCTATAATATGTTGTCATTTTAATTTTAGTTGAAGTTTTAGTAATGTTGTTATGTGCTTTTGTCATATTTGAGTTTATGTTTCTATGTAGCTTTAATTTATTTTTATTTCTGTTTTAGTAATTTTAGTACTTAAACTGAAAATATTAAACTATTTGTTTCAGTTGCTGCCAATGCAATATATGATTTTTGTTGACATTTTTTAAGTTTAAGTTTTTTATCTGATATTTATATTTTATTTCAGCTTTATTTGAATGAATGAAAACAATTTTTTTTACAGTTCTACTTTTAGTTAACAATAACAACATTGGTATTTAGCTATTTGTTAGACATTTTTTGTCAACCGATATACATTTCTTTTAAGAAATATTAAAATGATGTTTCATTATAGTCAGAGTTACCTATTAATTTTTGGTTTATTTTCAACTAGGACATCCTAATATGTTTCTTAATGGAGAAGAAATGTCTTCATTAGAAGATATTCGCAAGTGGTCAGTTGATGACGTCTACAACTTCATCAGTGAAATAACAAACTGCGCCGAATATACACAGGTAATAAAAATGTAAAATCACAAAATGCAATTACAATTATATACCTTTAAGTCTCATTCTTTTGTGTGTCATCCATTGCAGACATTCAAAGACCACATGATTGATGGAGAGACGTTACCTCTTCTTACAGAGGACCACCTCCTGGATACACTTGGGCTAAAGCTCGGGCCTGCGCTCAAGATACGATCACAGGTATTCGCCATCTTTCAAAAGGACCAAATTCTATCTCAGTAAGAAGGTTAATCATTAAAATTTAATTAATATTAAAATATTAAATAAAATGATGTATAAAATGAAAAATACACATATATGACTGATTATTTTAAGGGTTCTCTCTACCCTCCAAGAGGTCCTTGGGCTTCAAAAAATGTAAGTTTATTAAAGAATGAACTCATCTAACTCATTAGGTTGTTCTGTTCTCTTTTCAGTTGTCCCGACGGCTGGGTAACATGTTCTACAACATGATGAACTTGCCTCTCCCCGTCTCCGGTCTGCAGCCTCCACCTGAGAAAAGCGGGGACAGATCATCAGACATCAACTCCCCCCTCAACTGCAACAGTGTGGAGCTGCTCAGCAGCCCAAGAGACACAGAAGCTCTTAAATCTACGGAGCCTGTAAGTGAAGCTGATAATCCCTCACCGACCCAGATGAGTGAAACCACCTGAAAAAGAATGCAGAACTGTTGGACTTCTTTTTTTATTTCAAAATCCTTTACTGTTTTGACACTGAATGCATAAAGTAGACAGGCACTGACATTTTTGTAGTGAACTTACTGATTCTATATTTTTAAATATTCATCACAAATATATTATGATCCGTGTTATGCAGTAGGTTCAGAATGTGGTTTCCAGCAGACTAGCAGACTGTCGAATGCTGGATATTTCTATGTATATATATTTTGTAATAAGTCAGTAAATCATTCACAAATCTTTTTTGTCTTTATCATTACAGCCTTTTTCATTGTACAATTGTATTTTGGTTTTTACTTCAAACTTAAATTATTCTCTGTTGTCATATACTCTTTGCTATGGAGAAAATAAAAAGAATTATTCATTTGGTCTTTATTTGATTCATTTGATATGATAAAAAGATTCAGATACAGCATTTACACACACACACACACACACACACACACAAACATACAAAACAGAATATACAGCATTCTTTTAAAAAAATGAAAATACATTATTTATGATATATGTCTGAATCTAGCTTAAATCCCTTATTTGTGTGTGTTTTTTTGTAATTTTCTAGCAATAAATATAAAATTACATTTAGCCTAAATTAAGCTATTACTTGTAGGGGACAGATACCAAATTATGTTTTGTAGTTGTTAATAAAAAAATTCCCATATTAAAAATATATTTCATTATTTTATTCTTACAATCACTTTGAATGGTTAATCAATGCAGTCAACACAACAATAAATGGAAGAAAATGGCTTTTATTGTTTTATTTTTATATTTTTTTATGGTTTTTATTGTCTTAATAAAAGTTTTTTATGATCATTTATTTTATTCCAGGTTTCATAATAACCTTGGTTCAAATGTTACTTCTTAGGTGTCGAACTTTTATTGAACATTGAGGGATGTTTTAGGTTGATGTTAAATTTATGATAGCTAATAATTTATCTAATAATTCTCACTACAAAAATCTTCTATTTTGCCTCACCTGCACTTCAGATGGCAGTATTCATTCATTCATTCAGATTTGAATTTGCCAAGCGAAGAAGTGACTGATCACGGGCAATTCGAAATATCGCGAGACTTCCCTCCCCACTCTGTTCGTGACCACGTCAAGGGAAACCAGAAGTTAGAAATCATGGCGGAGCGCAGGAGACACAAGAAGCGAATTCAGGTACCGATTTCATGTAACGTTTGCTATTAGAAGCCCAGTCTTAGATCGCTGTTTGGCATTAAGTCATTTCTCGAGTTAACGTTAGTGTTTTGTTCGACCCATGATACAATTATACTCTGATCCGTTATTTTTGCAATGCTCTCATTTATGGGAGGTGGATTATTTGTCAGTGCTGGCGCAATTTTTGGGCTTCGCTTGGGTAATGCATTTTATCTTTTTGCAGGCATCTAATCATTCATGCAATTGCTCGATGGATTTGATGTGAGCATGACCTGATTGTGTTGTCTCTCCCCAGTGAAGAGTATGTGTTTAGTGGCACAGCTGATGGAGTTGGCCATTTTAGCTCGGCACAGACTGTTCGGTTTGCAGGCTGTTCTCTTTAACCAGCTGCTGGCTCACATGCTCCACGAATTTGAGCAAATAACATCCAAAATGCAGCACTTCTCATCCCCAAATTTGTACCCATTTGCAGACTAATTAAAGGGGCATTTCACACACTTTACTCACATTCATGTTTTTTCAGTCTCATTTGACTTTCTTTTTGCGTAAAAAATACAATGCTTGGTAGGCAGAATCCTTTAGTAACCATTTATTTTAACTGTATGGAAAATTATGCATTAAAAGTTAACCGTTACTGTCAGTCCATAACATCTTATATTAAATTTTTCATGAGAAAACGCATACAGGTTTCAAACAAGCGAGTAAATGCTGACAGGATTTCCCTTAAAAGCCATTGTCCATTAAAACGTGTATCGTTCTAAATATGTCAGTCAAATGCAGATGCTACATTATGTGCATCTGCCACTAGTGTGCTACTTTGCATTTTTGGCCATTGTAGTCAGAATGCATTTGTCATCCCCTAAAATGTTGTCTGGCTTGGCTGCTTGTTTGGTTTTGGAACACAGTTACTGTGCGTTCCTGTTATAAATGTCATGTTATGTAAGAACAGTGGAGTAATGACGTGTTGTCTTGATGAGAGAGTCACTCTTTATGATCCTTCCAGCCTGTTTGTTAGTTTTTGCTCTTATGCAACAGGTTGAAATCCACTGTCATTGCTGATCAGTTTTCACCAGTATCCACCATATATAAACCAAGTAAATTGAAAAGATGCGTTCAAGTTATGGATGAGAAATCCTGCATTATTTTTACTTTTAAAATCGTAAGGAAACCTAAAACAAACCTTTAGACTTTAAAGGTTTCCAAACGAAACCAAATAAAGTACCTCTGATTGTTTTTCTCTGTAAAGGTGTCATTTAGACCAAGTGTTAATCAAATGTTAAAGTCTGTCATTTACACATCCTCTTTTTTTTTTTGTCCATACAATGAAGGTCATTTGGAACCACAACTATCCCTTCCAGCAGTTTACCTGAAGTACACTAAGACCACCAAACCATAACTGATAACAGGGTCTACAAGAGTATCAGGGTTTACCAAGGCCGAATTGAGACAGCATAATCAATAAACATTTGGCTGACTTCCTTCACAAAATCCAGAGGAATATCAGGCAACCTGCCAGTAACTCCACACCCGGACGAATACCATGTTTATATGGTCTTCATTGAATATGTTTCTATAAGTCATGCAGGAGATATTCTGACCAAATAGAGTATGACTGAAGGATTGTGGAGCTCAAAAACACTCTCATACTAAGACCTCAGGCTTAAGAGTGGAGTTATGTCTGGTAGTCATTCATTATTTCAGTAAATGGTGTCTCTATAGCCTGGCTTATTGTCTGGATTTGTGAGGGGAGGGTTTTTGTGTGTGTATAGTGTGGTCACATAGTAATATAAGTAAGGATCTTTAGCTTAATAAATGGGGTCAGTGAGGACTCGTGTGTCTGCAGTGAGTTTGAATGGAGACTAATTTCAGTGTATAGATTACAAAGCACAGCACATCAGTGTGTGGTGAGTTGAGGCTTTTAATTAGTTCACGTTCATTAGATGTCTGACGAGGGTCCTGCTGCCAGTGTGGGAGATTCATTTCAAAGCTTTTCAGAGCACTGCTGTTATTCTACATTCTCTTGAATGTCATTTTTCACTGGAATTAATGACTTGTAGTCAAAGGGACAAACCAGCTTTTTGACATTCAGACTCTTGGTTTCTGTTGTATCTATTAATCATGGTTTATACTATTAATATCTCGGTCCTCTCCCATGGTGAAGTCTCACTGGTCCAGAATCATGTTCTACATCAGTGGTCACCAACCTTTTTAGGCCCAAGATCCCTGACCTCGGCCTTTATGAAAGACAAGATCTACCTATGGGGGTAAAATACACGTTTTTCGGCGGGGATCTTCCAGTAAAATTCACATTCCAGGGGCTAAATATCACGTTATTGGGGTCGCTTCAACCCGCGGACATGAACAACAACCCACTGCAACAGTGTTAAAGTAGCCCAATTCCGCGGACTTGGCAACACTGTTTATGAACCGCCCGCAATATAGCGTTTCCTTAGTTACCGCTGTAAACAAAGCAGAGCTGCGCTTTATACGGAGGAGAAGAAAATGCCATTGCCATCGAAACTTTTCTCAAGACCGTTCCCTTATGTGATACATTAATATAACCCCAGAAATGTAATGCATTTTTGTACTTATTTTACTGTTATTATCGGAATCTACTGGGACAGTGATAAAGCTCTACCAGTCGATCGCGATCGACGGGTTGGCGACCACTGCTCTACATAATAGGGATGCATATTAAACTCTGATTATTAAAAGATGGTTATTATTTTCATGTTATGGATGATATTATGATATTATCTATACTATTTTGTTTAAAGTAATGATGCTAAAAAAAAACTCTCAAAAGTTTGGGGTCGGTAAGATTTAGTAAATGTTTTTGAAAGAAGCCTCTTATGTTTACCAAGGAAGGCTGCATTTATTTGATCAAACAGTAAAAACTAATTTTGTGAAAATTATTTTAAATGACCATTTTCTATCTTAATATATTTTAAAATGTAATTTGCTGAATTAAAAGTATATTGAGTAAATCGTGCTAAAGTTTGATATTACCCAATGGTATGATTTAAGAAATCACAAATATCATCTAATATCCAATATGTGACCCTGGAGCACAAAAGCAGTCTTAAGTCGCTGGGGTATATTTGTAGCAATAGCCAAAAATACATTGTATGGGTCAAAATTATTGATTTTTCTTTTATGCCAAAAATCATTAGAACATTAAGTAAAGATCATGTTCCATGAAGATATTTTGTAAATTTACTATTGTAAATATGTAAAAACTTAATTTTTGATTAGTAATATGCATTGCTAAGAACTTCATTTGGATAACTTTAAAGGCGATTTTCTCAATATTTTGATTTTTTTTGCTCCCTCAGATTCCAGATTTTCAAATAGTTGTATCTCGGCCAAATATTGTCCTATCCTAACAAACCATACATCAATGGAAAGCTTATTTATTCAGCTTTCAGATTATGTATAAATCTAAATTTTGAAAAATTGACCCTTATGACTAGTTTTGTGGTTCAGGGTCACATATTGTACTGAATCTACATCTACCGTGTGCATTCCTGCTGCATAATAACTGTATATTTAATGTGATCTAAATGCAGATTAACCTGGAAATTCAGCAATTCTTGATATTCAGCAGATAAGTGTAATCATCATGACTTCATGATCTTTGATCTCTCTTTTTCAGGAGGTCAGTGAACCTACCAAGGACGAGAAGGCAGTGGCCAAGTACCTGCGCTTTAACTGCCCCACCAAATCCACCAACATGATGGGACATCGAGTGGATTACTTTGTCGGTCAGTGCGCTCATTCCTGCCATGCTTTCTTCTGTTTCCTCTGCTTAGGGTTTATATATCAAGGTTTCGTTTAATTATTTGTTTAGTTTTCAAAATTCTCTATTTGCTGTCATTGAAGCAAATGTTTGTTTTCTGACCATCAGCTTCTAAAGCAGTCGAATGTCTGCTGGATTCAAAGTGGGCCAAAGCAAAGAAGGGCGAGGACGCTTTGTTCACAACCAGAGAGTCGGTGGTGGACTACTGCAACAGGTAAACCTAGTCTTTTCTCTCATTTCACGATACTGATGGGACTTTCTGTGGTATTTGATACTACAAAGCTTTTGAAAAAGTCTCTTATTGTCACCAGTAAAAACACCTGTGTTGTGAAATATTAAGTTGGCTTGAAAAAGTTTTCTTCTTCTTCTTCTTCTTTTTTCCAAATTTTAAAATGTATCTCCTCCTAGACTTTTAAAGCTACAACCACCAAACTCGGCTCAGACCTTCAAACTGGTCTGACTCGGGTTGCTATATCTTTTCTAACTGATCCGGCTTACGGTTCTCGTAAACCAGACTATCAAAACCACCTAAAATCTCATAGACTTTCATTGAGGGTGTGAAAACTTTTATACAATGAGACTTGTGGTGTATTTAAGCTGTCTACTGCCATAGCAAAGCTTAAAAACTCCCTACTGAAAAAAAACAGCTAAAACCAGCCTAAGCTGATTGGCTGCTTTGGCTGGTCTCCCAGGCTGGTTTTAAAGTGGTGTTGGCAACTTTTTAGCTGGTCTTAGCTGGTCAAGCTGTGAGACCTGCTAAAAGACCAACCAAGCTTAATCCAGATATTTTCAATTTAAACCAGCTAAGACTAGGCAACCAGCCTAAGCTGGTTTTAGCTGGTTTTTAGCTGGTTTTTTACTGAATCAACTGGTTTTAGCTGGTTTTAACTGTATTAGCATAGAAACATGCAAACAACATGTTAATCATGCTAGAAACATGCTGGCAACATGCTAGTAACTTGTTAATCAGGCTAGAAAAATGCTAGCGACATGCTAGTAATTTGCTAATCATGCTAGTAACTTGCTAATCATGCTAGCAAAATGCTAGTCACTTGCCTATCATGTTGGGAACATGCTAGCGACATGCTAATGGCAATGCTAGTCACTTGCTAATCATGCTAATGACATGCTAGTCACTTGCTAGTCATGCTAACAACATGCTAGTCACTTGTTAATCATGCTAGCGACATGCTAGTCACTTGCTAGTCATGCTAGCAGCATGCTAATAGCTTGA